GGGAACAACCCAAAACTGCACTGTGCTGTTTCCTTCCATACATACTATTTCATCTTCGTTTGCTTAAATTTCCTTTGTGGAGGGGTTTTTCCTCTGCCGGATTCCCGATGCCGGTGGTGTAGTTGTGCTTCTCCAGCCCCTCCAAAACGGTTGGGGGCGCGACAGCGCGCGGGCTAGGGGAGCTCCCCTAGTCCACAGCCCTAACGAAAGAAAGAGAGAGACCTCTCCTGTATTTGCCTTGGCCCTTTGCTTCCTAACCCTCAGGCCCCTGCTTCACCACAGCCCACCACCACCATCGCGGTCTCCCTAGTGTGTGTAACGTTCCCCTATCCTGGATTACCTTTCCCCCTTGCGCTGTCAACAAGCATCGTAGACCACAAACCGTAGCCCAACACAAAAGTGCAGTCTGTAAACAAGGGGACCCCGTGGCTTGTTCCACACGTCCATGCGAGTGTATACCGCTTTGTGCGCTTTGTCTGTACTACCAAGCCGGGACCCCTCTCGTAAAGCTAGCCCACTAACCGACAACGTTCGGGGACTTGGCTGGCCAGCTCAGCACAGAGAAGGGGTCAGCACAGACCAGGAGGACCAGCCGGGGAGTTCAGCAGGTAGGGCCTTGCTTGCATAGAGAGTGCGTGGTCCCACACAGTGCTGACACCCTTCGGCAGTTTCACGCCGACTTTGAGACACCGGACAGAGGCGTAGCGCGAGAGCGCAGGGGCCGCAGGGTATAGTGGGGGGAACCGCACGCGCCAAACGCCCAGCAAGCAACTCAGCAAGAGCGAGAGGTGGAGTCCTATGCCCGGAAGAGAGAGAGAGAGAGAGATAGAGAGAGGTGGAGTGTTGCCCGTGTCCTGACTTCCCCCGAAAGCCCCAGAACTTTGGGGGGGCCCTATGGGCGGGGGGCCCTGGCCTGTTCCTTTAACCTTCCCACAGCTGTGCTCATGTTCTGTTCGTGGTCGTATGTATGCTAAAAGCTCAGTGTCCATCCAGACGTTTTCAAGCCAATGTGCCAATCAATCTTCTTATCAACCCGACCACTGAGCTTGGCCACGTCCGTGGCGTCGAAGCTGACCTCTTTCTGCGCCAACGCTAGCATTGGCTTGATCATGACAGCTCAGCCCTCTGTGCAGACTCTGCTCGTAGTGCATATAGATGATGGAGCGGTACCTTTGAAGTTCTGTTGGTCCCAAGAGAGCACTGGAATACTTTGCTTAACAGGACCACATTCTCATCATCGATGACTTCACCAACTCCGGAAGCACCCTGTTTGGGGCGGTTGAGCGTCTCGGCGACGAAAACGGCCTCTCAAGTTCCACAGGGGGTGGCGCTGGGACTCGCATACATGCTGCTTTCACGCCCCTCAAGCTGCAGCACTTGACACATAGCGCTGCTAGATTCCAGCATCAGGCCATCCCGTTGGAAGAGTCGGCTGCAAGTTGCTTGAAGGGTCCGTAGAAGAGTCCGTATCATGGAGAAGAGGCTCTTACACTCCGGATCTCCTTTGACCGATCTTTCGCCGCAAGGTTAGTCAAGAAGTATGCAGGGGGCAAGGAGATGAACGTCTCCATTTTTGTGTCCCACCTCGTGGCGACCTATGATCCAAAGGCCAGCTGTGAGGGAGTTGGGTCGGCGTCATGGAATCGGCCGGAAAGCTACAGTGGCCGTGCTTAACGTCGCCATGCAGGTCGTCGAGGGGCTGAAGGACAAGCTTCACAAGCTTGGCAAGCAGTGCCGAGCCTTTGCAGCAATATTGCCACAACAGTCACTGCGAGTACTTTAAAGCATCACATCCTCCGCCTGCTGCAGCTGCTGCTGTGCATCTGCATGCTGGAGTTAATCGGCTAAGAAGGCTCGCGGGGCATGGAATAGCAGAATCGCGCTTAGCAGTAGGCTGCAGCAAAGCATCAGCGGGACCCAAGGTTTCTACACCACAAACTCCATCCCCATGACAACAGACTTGCTCAAGGGAGATGAGCAGGCCATGGTAAAAGATCGGGCACTGCCGTGAGTCTGCACGCAAAAGCCTTGCTACTGAGAGCCGACCATTGAGATCTTGCAGCATTGGCTTTGGCGGTGCTTGGTTTTGAGGTCGACCTTCAATGCTTCAGTGTGCTGTGGCAGGCAACGGTGATTGACATCTCCGACTTCATCGCAGAGTTGGTGGCGAAGTGATACTACTCGTGATCGGCTCTCTTGTTGCTCCGCAGTGAGCTGTGGCTTCTCAGATGTTTGACCGGCACATCCGCAAGATCACGTGGACAGAACAGTAACAGGGCACATAAGGTGCATGGGCTACGTGCATATAAGCACACAGCAAAGAATGCTGAATGACAGCCCTCGTCATCCAACCGGGCTGAACATCGGCGAGAATTGGGGATGTGTCGGTGATGCCTCGGTAGAAGACTGGGGATCATGAGAGGCGGCTGTACAAAAAGACTGAGGAAAGAAGTGGTAATCTTTAAGCAGTCTGAGCTGGCGAGGCCCGATAGGAATAGTAATAAATCATAGCAAAAATAAGAGCCAATATTACGAATTACGATTATGGCAACAGTAGCAATATAATCTACGTAATCATCGTCATAGAAGCTCTCTTCATGGTGATTCCACGAATCGATCCTCGCTACCCCGGATGGAGCAAAGGGTTTCGCGTCCTTTGCGATCTCTTGGCCGACGGCGCCGCGACATATGTCGAAGAAACATGCACAGATCTCGCTTGTGTAGTGACGTAGTGGGTCTGATCAGTTGATTCGGTGTTGTAGACGCTGCCTCAGCAGGTGGCGCTGACGCAAGAAAGGCCGTGCTCTCAGAACTTGAAGTGCCTTGCCTCTGGGAAGCTGCCGTGGTTGATCTTAGCCTGAAATGGAGTATCACACGACCGGTGCTGTCGAATTCCGCCTCGCTAAGTTGGGTGAGGCTGTTGGGGGGTTCCTTATTAAGACTATACTAGACACGAGCCCACAACCCTATTCTAATTCCTACAGTACATCCACAGGCTCTTGGTTGATCTTCTGGAAGCGGAGTTCTTGGCGCAGAAGGCTGGCAGATTTCAAGCCGACTTGCTCCGGCCGCTCCTGGTGCTGAAGCCTTCCTACTCTTCTTTTGTACCCTTGGATCGGCCTGACATGAGCCGGTGCCACAGAGATTGGTTTAAGTGCCGATGGTTTCAGTCTCCCAGGCCCGCACTGTGTCACGCCACGCACCAAACCCCCCTCAGACCCCCTCAGAGGCAGAGGAAGTTTAGGGCTTGTGCAGGAGAGGGAGAAGCTCTATGAGGAGGCCTGGGGTCCTTTGTGACATGCCTGCTGCCTGCCTGCTCATTCCAAACAAGACACAAGGAATTCCTACTGAAGGAATTGAAGGGTCCCTGGAAATAGAGCACACTTAGCATCATCATGGAGTGCACGCCGAGGTGGAGGAGCAGCAGAAGCGGCTGCGGCAAAGGCCGGATGTTGGAGATCTACACCAAGCTCCTGAGTTAACACGTACACAACTTACTATCACAATCGTCAAAACGACGTTTCCGCGTTTCTAGCCCAGACTGAATCGTGCTGGTCGTGGTCTTGATTCGGCACTTGCCAGAAGCGCTTGAAAAACGAAAGGTTCGAGCGCATCGGTCAGATTCAGCCAATGAGTCCCAGCAAGAGCATTAACGACGAAGTGGCATGGACTGATCACTCCAAAGATGCAGCTGGGAGATGATAAAAGCATGCAAGCAGATGCCACACATTTGGCAACCGGAGACAACCTCAGCCTTCGTGCATCTGTAAACATATCCTCACAACAACAGCCAAGAACACCGATCCGAAGTTCTGTTCAGGTTGCACGAGGAGCGGCGTGCCCTCGACGATCGGCTGCAGGCCCTCCACACTCCCGAGCCTTCTTCGGCTGAAGCTCTCGCAAAGCTGTCGCTGCCTGTAACCGGGCTCCGCTCCCGCAGTTCCCAGTGGCGCTATTATAAATTGTTGTTGAAGGGGAAACGGTGGATGGCGCGACGGATATCGCTCGTCATCATCACTGCGCTCATCATCAGTGCTACCGGGACAGGTAGGGAAATCTCTTACTTGGAACTATGGAGGCTGCCGGCAGTTACGGGGACTTCTAGAGTCATTCGTTGACTTAAGGTCCTACCATGTATTGTGACATGCATTTCGTTTATGTTGTCGGCGCACCAAACCTTAGCCTCTTTTCGGCCCAAGCACGGAGGATGACCTAGAAGACGCCAGCAACAGACCACACGCGTAGGGACAGACAAAGGCAGTACTGAGCTGAACAGCCGCGCAGGGCGAATGCGTGTGCCAGAACGAGGGATAGTTTCCAGAAGGCGATAAGGTGCTCCGTCAACAGCCATGCTTAGGCTGACCTGGTTCCTACTTGTAGCAGCAACTTGTTTGGCCGAACAGACGCTGATCCTGGCTGTTAGAAGAGCTAGTTCGTCGGTAGCCATGACGTGCTTGGCGAAGGCATCAGAGACGCCTTTGCAACATTTTGCAAAGTCCTTGGTTGAAGCGGATGGACCTGCAAAGCTGTGCCTGGGTGCAATAGCACATGACTGACAGGATTCTGCACAAGTTGAAGGATGTATGTTGGAGCATGTTGTAATGTTCATGTGTAGTTCTGATCTTACAGTTTCATGCCTTCGAAGTGCTGTGGACTTGCACGCGCAGGGATCCAGTTGTTCATTGGCTCATTGGCTGCCCTGTCAGTGTGAGGCTTCTTCCAGAAAGCAGTCCCTCCAACCAACTAGTTGACCATGGCTGCAATCAACTGCGTGATCGAACAGTTGTCATCAGTTTTGTTGCAACATTTTCGCCTTCAGAAGCTACTCCATAAATGGCAAGCACGTTGCGCAACGCGAAATCTGAAGCGGAAGAGAATGCAGGTGGTATCCACCCAATTCGGACCCTGTACAGTCACATAGCAGTGTCATCTGTTGCCTGTAGGGACTCTGTCGTGGGTGGTTGCGGCAGCTCCATATCTTGTGCATCTGTTGAGAGCTCCGGACTACTACCGATACCTCTTTTGCTCGCACTGCTCCCGGGTATATGACCTCCTTTCAGTGTAAACACATCCTTGTACCCTGGTGTACAGTACTTTGATCGCTAGCACCTTGGATCCGGTCCTAGAGAGTCAGCACATGTCAGCACCCTGTGTCAGGTTTCCCATGTACACAACTCCATTGGACGTGCTGCTGCAGATGTCTGAAGTCAAGCCACATGAAGAGTTGCTGCAAGAAGGATCGCTGAGCATGTTTGACGATGCCAAGGGCAGAGCCATGTTTGTTTCCCACCAGTGACTCACCAAGCTCCACCCGGATCCCGAGTTCAAGCAGTTTCCAGTTTTGCAGCGGGCGATCAGAAATATTCGCGCAGGTGCAACAAGGATTCGAGTGGAAGCAATCAGTGAGTTTAGTTTTGGTTCCAAGGAGGCCACGTCGGCAACGCAGTTGCTGGCGGAGTCCAACGATATCTATGTTTGGTATGACTACTTCTCCTGTCCGCAGCTGGAACACAAACTGAAAGGTGAGGCCTGGCTCAAGGAGACGGCTGGTGGTGAGCTTCGCAGAGCTGTGGACAGCATCCCTGCTTACATTATGCATTGCCAGGCCCGCGGTTTGACAGATGAACCTACTGCCTACCACTTTCGAGCATGGGAGTGTTTTGCACCCTGAGGTCTTTTTGGCCTTGTGTCCCGTGGTCACATGTGCAGATGGCATCTCGCTTGGACCGAGCACTTGGAACGAAAGAGGCTGCCACACTGATACCTGGGCAGGGTGTTTCGGCTTGCTTGCTTTGCTCCCAGTAGCTTGCTTTCTGAACGATACGGAGCAGGGTTACGGGCTAACTCGAAACCTTGCAGTCTCAATCCTGACCAAAGCAGAAGCTTGCAGACTTGGACCAGGCTGGTGTCGCGTTGAGCAGATGATGCGAGAGCTGTCTCCGGGCAGTGGTGCGTGGGTCATAGCTCCCAGGTTCCTTTAGAGCCTTTGTTCCAGCTTCCGGTTTTCGAATTTGGAAGTTGTGCTGAGGGCTGGAACTTCTCGGTACCGCCACTCTGAACCCAGGTGAAAAGCGCCATGCACCTGGAGGTCAAGTTCCTTGGTCGCTGCTCCCCCGGGGAGGGTGAGTTTACCGTGGAAGGACCCGAAAGCCGAAAGCCGCAACGTATCCTCGGTGGATGTAAGTGCTTGTTCCCGGATGGTTTGGCCTGGTGCTTGACGACCTGTTGAATTCGTGCTGTAGGCACTAGGCACCAGGGACAGCAAGAGGCAAAAGGTGGCTGGTGGATTCCTGGTAGATGAGGCACTCAGAGACAGATCCTGCAATGACAGGAGACCGTGCCCGGGTGGCTCCCATCCTCCGAGATGTTTTGAGGACGGCAGTGGGTTGCTTGGGCGGAGAGGCTTGCGAGGGAGCTGGCGTGTTTGGTTGGTTTCCGTGTGGGTGCCGATCTCCTGTCAGAGTGACACGGGGCGTCGTTAAAGGGAAGGATCGACCTTGAATTGAATTGATTGCCTTTGCTTCCATGAGGAGCAAGCTTCTGACTTGCCTGCGAAGTGGGCAGGTGTCGACCTACAGGCTGTTCCTCAACGACCCTTGGCCGGCGCTAGGCCAGGATTCAGAGGATCTCGCTCATTGGGAGGTCTAGGTGTTTCGCGACGCTGACTCACACGGCGACTTTCCGCAGAACATGCCTCAAGCATGTCACTGATCCCGACATCGAGATGTCGGCTTGAAACTGACGCATGGTTCCGTCGGTGCCTGCTCCAAGCCTCATGTAAGCATCCCCATGCATCCCAACTACTTTAAAGGCGCCGCCCAAAGCCCCCCTTTAAAATTGCCCTGAAGCTGAGGATCAGGCTTCCAGGTTCCGGGGACTTCCTGCGGAGCCGGTGGGTAGCCTAGTGAGCGACGGCGAAGGCGAACAAGCCCTGCAGGAGGGCACGGAAGCCACGCAGTTGCCTTTTGGAGTACCATTTTTGAAGATTTAAACTGTTTGTAAGTTGAAGGGAGGTTGGGCTCCTTAAGGAACCGTTGATGGCAGTCTAAGCACAGATGAGGATGCCGATGATTCAGAGATCTTGGCAGATTTTTCCAGCAAAACGGATTCCGCCGAGCTCTGGAAAGGGATGCAATGGGCTGGTCTCCAATCTGCTATGCCGCGCTACAAGGTGC